CCCCCGGGGACAGAGCCTGAACCCCCCAGGGACCCTGAACCCCCCAGGAACCCTGAGCCCCCGGGGACAGAGCCTGAACCCCCAGGGACAGAGCCTGAACCCCCCAGGAACCCTAAGCCTCCAGGGACAGAGCCTGAACCCCCCAGGAACAAACCCTGAACCCCTTCAGAACAGACCCTGAACCCCTTCAGAACAAACCCTGAGCCCCCAGGAACCCTGAACCTCCTGAGAACAAACCCTGAACCCCCCAGAACAGACCCTGAAGCCCCAAGGAACAAACTGTGAACCCCCCAGGGACAGAGCCTGAACCCCCCCGGAACAAACCCTGAGCCCCCCAGGGACAAACCATGAACCCCTCAGAAACAGACCCTGAACCCCCCAGGAACAGGCTGGGCAGGAGGGCGAGCCCCCCACTCTGAAATTTAACTAAACCCCCCCTAAACTCTGCTTCAGCAGCAAAAAAAAATGTGAAAACCACACAAAATCCTTGATTTTCCAGCAAAGTGAGAGGATTCCGGGCTGCCCCCAGCACAGGGGGGGCTCCCAGGCTCAGAGAACCCCAAAAAGCTGCCCCCAGCACGGGGGGGGCTCCCAGGCTCAGAGAACCCCAAAAAGCTGCTCCCAGCACAGGGGGGGCTCCCAAAAAGCTGCTCCCAGCACAGGGGGGACTCCCAAAAAGCTGCCCCCAGCACAGGGGGGGCTCCCGGGCTCAGAGAACCCCAAAAAGCTGCTCCCAGCACAGGGGGGGCTCCCAAAAAGCTGCTCCCAGCACAGGGGGGACTCCCAAAAAGCTGCCCCCAGCACAGGGGGGGCTCCCGGGCTCAGAGAACCCCAAAAAGCTGCCCCCTGAAGCCCCCAGCCCCTCACCAAAGTGTTTGATCTGCTTCTCGTATCTCTCCACGAAGCTTTTGTGCTTCTTCTCCTTCTGCTCCTCCGTCTCCTCCTTCTCCTCGGGCTTCACGTTGAAAACACTCTGGGGGGAGCACAGGGAACGATTTTGGGGGGCCCCTCGCAGACGTGGGGCGGGGTTTTGGGGGCGTTTCCCCCCCGAAGCCCACCTTGCTGAAGCCGTCCTTGCTGAGCGTGTCCACGTTCCAGGGCATGTTCTTCTCCTTCTTCCTCAGCTCCTCCAGCCTGCTCTCCCAGCTCTTCTCCTCGCTCCTCAGCTGCTGGGCCTCGGCCTGCAGCCTCTGCAGCTCGCCCTGCCCGCCCTGGGGCTCGGCCAGCTGCAGCTCCCTCAGCCTCTGCTGGCACTCGGCCAGCCGGCGCCGGCACTCGCGGCAGCCCTTCTCCAGCTCCTCCTTCTCCTTCTGGAACTGCTCCATGCGCTCCACGCGCGCCTGCGCGGCGGGGGGGGCTTGGTGAGCATGCCCGCCCTGGGGCTCGGCCAGCTGCAGCTCCCTCAGCCTCTGCTGGCACTCGGCCAGCCGGCGCCGGCACTCGCGGCAGCCCTTCTCCAGCTCCTCCTTCTCCTTCTGGAACTGCTCCATGCGCTCCACGCGCGCCTGCGCGGCCGGGGGGGCTTGG